ATATGCGCAACTTAAAAAAGGTGATTAAAAACTTCTTAAATGTTCCTGAAACCGGTTACTCGGGGGTCTTCGAGATCGCTGATTACGAATATGACATTCGTTTTCCAAAATTCAAAATGGTGGATCCAATATGGCGGACAACAAAATAAAAAATTGATCAGATTGACTTGAAACGTAGTACTCGGGGGTTTTTGGGGTCGCTGATTACGAATCTGACATCAGTTTTTCAAAATTCAAAATGGCGGATCCAAGATGGCGGGATTTTTTTGAAATTTGTCGAATTTTCTTGAAACTTGTTACTCGGAGGATTTAAGGGTCGCTGATTACGAATCTAACATTAGTTTTCCAAAATTCAAAATGGCGGATTCAATATGGCGGACGACAAAATAAAACAAGTTGTTAATTTCATGACCATTTAGCTTCCTCAACATATAAAATATAAATTCGTGACGTAATTCACTTACAAAATTCTAGCTACCTCCTCGCGGTGCATCTTGGAAACAATATCATTAAATTCTTTATTTCAAGCTTTATTAAACAATTTCAATAAATTCAAAAAATTAAAAAATTTTAAATGTACTTTGATGATATTGGCTAAAATCCAATCAAACATATAAAATATTTACTAAAGTTAATAATATATTCATTACTTCATTTTAGGTACAAATCTCCATGAAAACCAAATTATGATTTTTCAAAAGCATAACAATCAAAGCATAAATTCTTCTTAAGGAAATTTCTTTTTGATGCAGCAAGATATATTCATAAATTAAATGTAATTATATTGCGGTTTGCAAACTTTTGCAATTCGAAATGATTCGAATTTTCTGTTGTCGAGTCGATTAATGTTCGGTTCGATTAAATACACACCTCTATTTCATATGCAAATTGCTTCTTTTTTTATGATAGAATAATCATTTAAAAATATTAATATTAAATAAATTATGAAAAAATACAAAATTTGAATTTTTTGTGAAAAAGAAAAATTTCTATTAATTTTATAAATTTTGATAAAAAATATACTTTGTATACATTAATCGATTCGTTTTCTTGTCAGGAATGTAATTTTGAGAATAATTAATTAAAATATTAACAGATAAAAAAATTATTTACAAAAATACAAAAAAAAAATTTTTTGAATTTTAAAAAAATTGTATAAAATTTTTTTTTTAGATATTTTTGAAAATCCTTGTGTCAGATTTTAGGTATTAATGACTGCAATAAACCTGCAAAATTTCAAGACAATCCATCAAAATTTGTTTGACATAATTTGTACGCAATTTTTGTGACATACACACACACACACATACACACATACATCTGGACATTTGCTCAGAATTGAATATACATATGTTATAGATGAAAATGAGTCCATATAACCTTCTTTTGAAAAATTGAAAATCGTCACGAATGCAAAGCTTCCTTATGAGGAAGCAAAATTAATTATAATGGCTTGAAACTGAATACTCGGGGGTTTTTAGGGTCGCTGATTACGAATCTGTCATTATTTTTTCAGGGTATTTATCGAAATTTGATTTCACCAAAAATTATCATACTGATGTCAGATTAACCAGTTATAAACAAATTCAATAAATTTTTAAAAATTTTCCGCCATATTAAACCAGATATTTTGAATTTTAAAAAACTGATTTCAGATTCGTAATTAGCGACCCTGAAAACCCCAAGTACTCAGTTTCAACCCGATCTGATCAATTTTTTATTTCGTTGTCCGCCATATTGGATCCGCCATTTTGAATTTTGGAAAACTAATGTTAGATTCGTAATCAGCGACCCTTAAAACCCCCGAGTAACAAGTTTTAAGCAGATTCGACGGACGAATTTTGAAAAAATTCCGCCATCTTGGATCCGTCATTTTGAATTTCGAAAAACTGATGTCAGATTCGTAATCAGCGAGCCCAGAAACCTTAGGGTACCAAGTTTCAAAAAAATCCATTAAAAATTTTTTCAACACACTTTTGGCCCAAACAGTGGAAATCTCGTTGACAGCCAAGGGGTTAAGAAATATAAAAAAACCGATTAATTTTTATTTTTAAAGACTGAATTTGTGTTTTGAACTTGATAAAAGTATCAAATAATTTATAATAAACTGTAAAATATGTTATTCAAGTTTCTGTATGAAATGTCAAATATCGATCATATTTAACAATTTTTTTGGCAAAGTAATTTAATTTTAGTAAAACAGAATTATTTGAATAATAAGTATTTTAAATACACTTTAATATTATTTAAATACTTTTTTGATTATCAACTGAGAAATATAAAAAAATTTACCTTAAAAATTAACCATTCTTTATTTTATCGGGATTTTGAATGTTTGTAACTTCGTTGGAGAAAAACCGATTTATGCCAAATTTTTGGAGCATGTAGATTGAAGCAATATCTTCCTGCTGCTAAAATTTAGCGATGGGTTTTGCACTAGTCTTCAAAAAAAATTGATTTAAAAAAAGTGTTGATTTTGAAGGTTATTGACAAGTATTATAGCTGACTTGAAGTTGGTTTGTTTTAAACTGACTTTAAAAAAATCGTTTTATTTTGAATTTGACTTTTATCGAAAGTAGCCAACAAATCGTTTTATGGAATAACTGCGCATTTTATAAGTGAAGATTGGATATTGCGATCGCTTGTTCTTGATTTCATACCGTCGAACGGAAATCATACGGGTAAGGACATAGCGAATCTCTTTCACGATGTTCTTGTCAAGTATGAATTGGACAACAGTTTACAAGGCATCACAATGGACAACGCAGCTGCGAATACAAAGTTTATTCAAGAATTAGGCAATTTAATGAAGCAGGTTTTTGGTAAAAAGTTCGACATCAATGATATACATTTTCGGTGCATTGCTCACATCTTGAATTTGTCTGTTCAAGATTTTTTGAAGGAACTTTGTATTCAAGATGATTTTGAAGAAAGCGATGAAGAAGTCGATGAAACAGGAACACTAGAAAATGAAGACAGCATTGAAGACAACAAGATGTCAAAAAATACTTGTGTGATCAAAAGACTAAGAGGGCTCCTCAAGAAATTAAAATATTCGGAGAAATTACGCGAAAAATTGAAATGCTGTTGCGCTACCGTTGAAGTTAAAATTTTATCACCGACTATTGACATCGCGACGAGATGGAATTCATCATACGAGATGATAAAACTCGCACTTCGTATGAAACCAGCGTTAAAATTATTATGTGAACTCAATCCCGATTTAAATAAATTCTGTCTGCAAGAATCCGAAAAAGTGGAGTTGAAATTCAGATAAAAAATTTGATTTCGAACATAAATAAATCTACATTTTTTAAAAATGTTTTTTTCAATAATTCTAGTTGAAAAATTGAAAAATAATTAAATTAAACAAAGAATTTTTTCAATTTTTTAAAAATAATCTTGATTTTTTATAATTATAATTGAAAATGTATATTTTTTAAAAATTAACTAATAAAAATTTTAATTATTAATCTAAATTAAAATACTTTGAAAATTCTATTTGTTAAAAAGTTTCTAATGAAATTCTATAGCAAATTTAATTACATATTTTTAGTTGAATTTCATAATATTTTTATTAACTCCATAATTTTTAAAAATTTATTTACATAATATGTTTGAACAGTATAAATATCTATAAAAATTGAAATAAAAAGTGATTTTTTGAAAACAAATTAAAATAATAAAACTTTTAATTTTGGTAAAAAAATTCCCGGCTTGGTGTAAAATTCCCGGCTAATTCCCGGTCAAAATATTAAATTTTTGGTTATTTCCCAGTGTTCTCGGATTTTTCGGTTAGTAGGCACCCTGATATATATATATATATATATAAAGTTTAAAAATTTAACAAATTTTCATCTCATTTTATTTTTAAATTTTGCATTAATCCTAAGAAATTATATAATTGGTGGTCTTAGTTTCATATAATTTTTATGAAAATAAATTTTGATTTTATAATTGATTATTAATCAGAAAAAATTCTATTACCAAGAATCACCAAGAATCTTGGTTAAAAACAATACAAGATTCAAACTTAAAATGACAGTCGAGATAAATTCTTGTACTTGACGTTTTCTCGCTTGGTCTTGCTTGAATGGATCACTAATTCTCATTGTATAAAATAATGATGATCTTATCATTTTTCCTTGGGGAAAAAGTCTAAATTTTGTCTAGAAATCAGGAAAAAACAAAATTAAATTTTTGTAACATGTCTGATTAAGTAATAAATAAATATAATAATGCGCAATATGAGAGTACCATCCATTTATAAGAAATTATTAGTGTTATTTAATGTGGTAAAAATAAATGAAATTTTAAAAACCTGGAAAAATTCCACTTTTGAACCTGGAAAACCTGGAAAAGTCAGGGATTTTCAAATGAGCAAAAGCGTGGCAACCCTGATCAAGTGTTTCAACAAATTCCTAAAGCAAGACATAAACTAAAAAAATTTATAATCGTAAATGTTGACTGCTATTTTCTTATAAATTTAAGAAAATAAAAAATTTTATTTCACTGTTTAATAATTTTAATTTATTTATTAATTACAGGTAGATATTTACTATCGATTATTATTTATTTATTACTACAAAATATTTATTTATTCTCTCAAGGCAAAAATTCGTGACATAATAAAAGAAAAAATTTCTTAAATGTAGAAAATAAATTTAAAAAAAAATAAATAAAAAATTCAAAATGATATTATTTGCGAAAAAGAAATTGAATAAATTAAATTGCCAAATTTATTATATTATCCCTAATTTAGCAGTCTATTTATGCCTCGAACAAAGTTTGAGGGAACAATAGGGTGGGGATTTAAAATTCAGTTGGTTGTTTCAACTCTCTAAATGCTGAAAAGCCTTCGAAATTCTTCGTGCTTTGTATTATAAGTTTGTGCAAGAGTGCTTTATGGTTAGTTCATAATTTCAAAATAATCAACTACTTCAATTATATACAATAGAATATTTTATAATATAACTATAAATAAAGAATGTTTCACTCACCGGAAAATAACTCCAAGTATTTCTCCACGCCATAGTTTCCCGGAAATCTATAGTTTGGATCCTTCAAAGCATCTCCACTGTGAACTTTTACCCTTTTTATCATAAAACTGATATTGTCGGGCCTTCCATCTTGATTGAAATCTGAAACAAAGAATTTTTTAATTAATTCATATTTTTTCCTTTTTCGTTATAATTTTATTTTCACATTTTTTGTTATAAAAATTTATTTTTTACAAGTAAACTTTAAGTCTAATGTATGTGAACTTTAACTTTAGTATAAATCAAATTATAATAATAATAACAATAATAATATATATATTCTTTCTTAAAAATTTACTTTTACTTTATAAAAATAAAATAAAAATAATAGTAAATTTTTTTAAAAACAAAATTCTTTTATTATAAATTAAAATCTTTTTATTATGAATAAAAAAATTGTAATTCGATTTCTTTGATCTTGTGGGAAATAATAGTCCTAGGTAAGATTGTTAAAACCCAAAAAAATATTTTCAAAAATTTTCAAAATGGCGCCCGCTACGCCATGTTGAATATCAAAGCAGTGTTTTTTTCAAAATTAAATATCTCGTAATCGAAAGGATGAATCTTAACAAATTTTACACAAAATATAGTTAAATAAGTGTAGTTTAAAATAATATTATAATAAGAAAAATTTTCAAAATTTTGACCAAAAAAAAATTAAAAATTTTTTTGAAACTACTTTTTAGTTGATTTGGCCAGTTTTTTGAATTTTCTAATTTATATATTCAGATTCCTTGGGATTCCACCTTTATTTTAATAAAAAAAATTCTTTGGAGACTTAAATAGTTTTCGAGATATTGAGATTTTAGTGCGAGCGCGCACCGCGATTTCATCCCATACGCCAAGCGGTGCTGCTACTATTCGCTAACTTAAGAAACATATGTTCCTTTATTTTAAATAACTAATGGTAAAACAGACAATTTACATTACAAATAATTATTATAAAAAATGTTTGAAAGTAAATATTGATTTGTTAATTTTTTATAAATTGTAAAAAATTTTATTTTAACAAATATTTTAACGTTTTCTTTTATTCGATTTCTCGATTTCAAATTCAAATTTTTCATCAGCAGAAGAATATTTTCTGCATTCGATTTTACTCTCACTTATTGGTGTGAACGAGTGAAAACTCCTTGTTCCAATAATTGTTTGACCTTTCTCAAATGGTTTTTTTAAATTTCTTGTTTTTCTGTCATGTTCCTTTTTAGAGCAAAAAATTGTATTTATATTTATCAAAGCAGTAGAGGCCCACTCAAACAAATCTTTTGCAGTTAAGATTTGTTTATTACTACTGCGTTGAAGACAAGCTCTGCTAGCTTCTCGTTTTAGGGTACCTCCAATGCCATCACAAGGGCTTTTACCGTGTGAGGTAGCAAAGAACTCCCAAGTAGCATCAATTCCAAAGTCACGTTTGTGGTAAACTAGATTGATGAAATTGCTTTTATTTTTATATTGTGAGGCCGCACCGTCTGTAAAATAGATAATTTTCTTAATGGAATGCTTTTTTTAATTCGATTATAACTTTTTCCATAAATAAATAAACTGCACTTATGTTATGTTCGAGATCCTCTGAAATTATTGCAAAGCTTTCGCAAACAACTTTACTTCCGTCATTATAATAAGCAACAGCTGGATGAATGGTTATTTGTTGCTTATTCCAGTATTCACTCTGAATGGAGTTTTGAATAATAGTTTCATAATTTTGTGAAAAATCGAATAAGATTATAAAAACACCCTCTTCAAGGGATTCCTTAGAATCTTTCAAAACTGGCTTTGTTTTTTGGCAATAAAGTCGTGTTTGAGCAATTCGCTTAGATGCGTAGCCAGTTTTTCCAAATATACTTCCGTTATGTCGCAAAATGTTTCAAGTGATGTTCTATCAGTTGAAGTCTAGCAATTATACGTTATATTTTCAACGTAATTCTCGTCAAATATCTTCTGCAGTGTTTCTATTACAGGCGGCACACCTGGACAAGATTCACACAATCCAAAATAGCAAGCAGATGTTGATGGCTCACAAATCATTGCAAGCAAAATGGTCTTGTACGATGTCAAAAATTTATTATTTTCATCTGTGATTAGATCTTTAAAATTTACCCCATCAATTAAAAGCTTTGTATTTTCATGTATTTTGCAAACACAGATGGAATGCGTGCCACTAGCACCAGCAAATATGCATTCTTTGGGTCTCAGTTTGACAAAAGTGGAAAATCCAATTTTCATATTAGGGTACTGTAATTTAAAAGTTGCATAAACTTCCTTTAAATTCCCTAAAATCAATCTTTTTTGCAGAGATTTTCTTAAATTATCAGTTTGTTTGACAGATATGCTATCTTTTTTCCCGGCAACTGTCGACTAATGTCAGAATCATAATAAAAATCTCTAACTGTTGTCACAATTTCTTCTTGTAATTTTTTGCCAATTCGAGGATTTAATGTTGTGCCTATTCCATTAGCAGCATGAAGATTTGCAGCTTCTTGAGCTTGTTTATATGGCACTTCAAATTCGGTTGCTATTTTGAGAATGCTCCAACTCTGTGGAAGAGTTCTATTTTTCGGGATTTACTAGGATTTTTCCTTAACTCTGCTTTGATTTCATCAATAAAATCCTCTAAATCATTTTTATCATTTTCAATTTCCTCATATTGAAATACTTTATTGAACTTATTTTCAAATACCTCTCGAATTTCACTTACCTTTTTCTTTTTTGCCGTTTGCGTACGATGATCTTTGCTACAAACAATTGGTGAAATACATAATATGTGTAAAATGTTATTTAATTCTTCGATGTCTTTTTCTCTTTCGTATTTAAAATCAAAATTTTCCATTTCATTATTACCTAAATCATCTGGTTGAGATACCTCTTCTTTGCTTACATTTTCAACAGAGTGAAAAAATTCTTGAACTTGTACCAAGGCTGATGGATCTAAGTTTGCAACTTTTAAACGGCAAGTATTGCAAATAAAATTATTGCTATCGATTGAAAATGATTCAACTATTTCTTTTGAAACAGGGCGGACATTTGTTTTATCAACAAAAACATGTCGCTGTTTTTTAAAAGGATTAAAATAATTATAACGAGGCATTGCTAACGAAAATATAGGTGCCGTTCAACTTAAAATCTATTCAACGTAAAATCTGTTTAACTTAAAAAATATTCTACTCAACATTTATTCAACCTAAAATCTATTTAAATAAACTTACCTATAATACAACTAAACAAACAAAAAACGATAATTTAAAAAAAAAGAATGCAAAAAATTATTTACAATATTTATATGATTGTACAAATAATCTAGCCCCTCAATTATAAATAAAAACAAAAAAGATAAGTAAATAAACAATTCAATTACAAATTCCTATTATGCGTTCTGTTATGCTTGCTATTATGCGTTCACTGTACGAGACAGCTAATGCAGGTTCGTGCACGTTCAACGGCTACGATGGCTACGCAGTACATAGAAATCACGGTGCGCGCTCACACTAAAATCTCAATATCTCGAAAACTATTTAAGTCTCCAAAGAATTTTTTATATTCAAATAAAGGTGGTGTAATATGTAAAATAATATGTTCTATTTTTTCTTTTTTAACTTTCTAATATAGAGAGTCCCTTTCAGGTCCCTTTCTCTAATTTCCAAACTCTTTCCTAAACCCACTTTCTAATATTCCCTTTCAAATAAAAATGACCTTTTTTTAAAGGTATATAAACAGGCAATGTAGAAAATAAAAGTCAGTCGTTGTAAAACATTTGTTACGGCAAAGACCTCGTCTCCAAATAAAGTTATTTTCACGAAAATATATTATTTGTTTATTATTTGACGAAACCGTCACATAATTTGGCGATCCTGCCAGGATACGAGTTCGAAGTTGTTTAAAATTTCTACGGAATTTTTATACAAATTTCACATAACCGTATCTGGATTCTGAACCGGACATATTTCAAGCAAAAGTAGGGACTGAACTAAGTAGGTTTCTATATTACGTAAGCTTGAAATACAAAAAGAAGAATAAAAAAGGGCATCCACGGACACCCAACAGGAAAACGTGCGACACCAAAGGACTCCACCCGTCTTCTACGTAACCCGTGATGCGCAAGGTCTTTTACGAAAAACCTAAGGAGCGTTGCTGCTGTCAACACGTGAGATTAATAACTTAATTATAATAAATTTGTTTAAAAAAAAACGAACTAAGTACTCTAATATATACCCTTTATAAGATTAAATAAATTAATAACAAAATGACAGATCAAGACACAGATCCCGTTAACACCCAACTTTTAAAAACACTATTAGAAAAATTTAACATCTTAGAGGATAGTATTAAAACCTTAAACATAGAAAACACAAAACGGGTAGAAGAGATAAAAACACTAGCAAAACATTACAATTTAATAGAAACCGAAGATGAAAGTAATAATTCACATAATTCAAAAGAAAATAATACACAACAAGGCGACATGAGATTAACCGAAGAAATCAATAATACTCTCTTACCAGCAAAGGATATTATAGGAACTATTGATATTCTAAACGGAAAGGATGATTGTGGCGTTGAAGATTTTATCAAACTAGTTAAAAAAGCACGCGACAGATGTTCACAGGAAGAAATATTACTAGATCTAATACAATCTCAGAAAATAATAGATCAAGCAAAACGAGCAATAAGGTTTATGCCCATTAATGATTACACAGACCTTTACACAGCTTTACGACAAGGGGTTGGCACATTCAATTCAGTAGAGACATGTAGATGTAAATTAGAATCAGTTAGACAAATGAATACCGAATCAACACAAAACTACAATATGAGATTTCGTCAATATTTCAAGGAACTAACTTACGCAATCCAAAATGAACACTCAAACGATACCTCCCGACGACTAGCTCTACAGAGCGAGGAGAAATCAGCAATAAAAAGATATATCATGAACCTAAGAGAAGAAATAGGTCCTCAAGTACGACCACTAAGGCCGACTTCATTACGACAAGCACAGCAAGACGCAATGGAGTCAGAAATTTGGTACAGAGAAAAAAATATGATGAAAGTAAGAGTACCAACTACTTTACCTCCAAGGAACAATAAACCTACTTCTAACCTATCTC